GTTAAACGTTAACCAGGCGTTAGTCGACTCTCTATATTTTTCTATGTTATTATCTAAGAGGAGACAGAGAGTCGACTAATCTCTGCACTGAGAAAAATTTCCATCGGTATCACCGATTAAATAGCGTTTCCGACGGTTAATTTTTCCGATTAAATTATGGCTACATCCGATGAAATTTATCCGAAGAAACGCAGTTACCGATGAAATTTGACTGACAAACCGATCATATTTTTCATCGGATATACAACTTAATTGGATATATCCGTTTGTTATTATGTAATTGGATTATCCGATTATATTTAATCGGACATTTTTCTCACTGCTTAATCATGATTAACAAAGTTAATCATGATTAACAAGTAACAAGAAAATGAAAAACTGGGCCTCAGTAATGTTTCGAGAACGTTGTAGGACGACAGAATCGATTGTACCTGCATTGTCCGTAACCGGAAGCTGATGGAGCGACAAACGACATATTTTCATCGTTCTCTTCTGTTGCAAAAGAGATTGAGGAGAAAAGCGTGGGCCGCGTGTCGTTTTTTTCTCTCCCTCCTGATTTCGTACAAAGCCGGAATCAGTCTGACCCTGTCTTGTGTGAGGCTGATTCTTCCTTTGTCCATGTGCATTGTTTGTGTGTACCGTAAGACCATAATCTGGATCTTCTTAACCCAGACTTGTGTTGGTGTAATCTTAAGCGCATAACCGGCGTAATTTTCATCCGCTCGCATCTACGAGTCGCATTTACGCTCGTGGGTCGAGCTAAAGGTCGGTCCATATTCTAGCATCGTGGACAGAGGCCTTAACGCTTAAGGCTAATACATTTGTCGTATGACGAATCTTTTAAGCGTGTTGGCTGGCTGCAGGATCGAAAATTTCTAGATACTCGAAAACTTTTCTATCCTGCAACCAACATGCTTAAATTATTTGTCGTACGACGAATGTAGTAGTTAGGCTAACTCGCAATCAAACCCTGTCGATTGATCGTACAATTCGAAACGTCGAGATTTATGAGATAGAAAAATTCAGTATCCCTTGTCCTCCAGTATAAGATAAAAGTTACTGCAGGGCAAGAATTTTCTCTTAAAATTTGTAGAGAAGACACTTTTGTAGAGAAAATCCTTTTGTAGAAAAGATCCTTAAAGAAGATATATTTGTAGAGAAGATAAAAATGTTATTTTTTAAACAAAATATTTCCAACTAATTAAATCATACAGTTCTGCTCGATTTGCACGCTTGGCGTCTTTTGTTACCTTTTTAAAAAGGTAATGTTTTGAGGTGTAAAAGTTACTGCACGGGGAGAATTTTCTCTTAAAATTTATCCTGAAAAACATGTAATCGTGGGACAACATGGCATTTCGAAGAGAGGTTTTTGAAATTTTACCATACATTTTACCAGTAAAATGTGTGCTAAGTATAATTACTGGTAAAATTTCAAAAAAACTCAAATAAAAATCTTGGAAATGCCATGTTGTCCCACGATCACATAATTTCCGGGGCAAATTTTAAAAGAAAATTCCCTCCGTGTAGAAACAATTTGTAAAAGCGATGCAACATTAAATGAAATTGGACAGCGTATTTCTGCAGAGGCTCGCAGATTCGAAAAGAGTTAATTCAAGTATTTTACAATAACAACAATTTGCTGTAAAGCGCGACGACTGTCCTTTTCCAAAAGCCTGAACTCTTCGCGCATCGTGCGCGTCGTGAAGAACAGTGTTAAGAGGCGCGTTGCTTTCACGGCGCTAAGTGCGTACCGGAAGACCCTGGAAGACTCCACGAAATGCTGAGGAAAGTCGCGCATTACCGCGCGCCGACTCTTATCCCGGGAATTTGCTCAGAATTTTTTTTCGAGCTTGTAACATCCGAGCCGATAAACTGCGCCGTTCGCCGACATGATGGATCGCTCTCCACGACAATTACGGTATTTGCCGCGAGTGTTTCTTGCGCCGCGCGACGCGCATAAATTATCCGTGCACGCCGGCCAATTCTCTTCTCCTCTTGCGGGAAAAATCGCGGCGCAAAAACTCCTCTCGCGCGAGACCTCATCGCGAATAAAAGCGACGGATTCTTTCGCGCAGTCGGGCGCGAAGTTGCACCGACTTGATTGAATCAACGTTTCGTCCACGCGATTTTATCCACACTGAGAAAAATTCCGGTTACGTTTTCCGATCAAATTCTGGACACATCCGATGAAACTTGATTGAAGAACCGATCATATTTTTCCTCGGATATACAATTTACTTGGATACATCCGTTTCTTATTATGCAATTGGATTATCCGATTATATTTAATCGGACATTTTTCTCGGTGTATGATTTTTAATTTTCGTTCTAAGGACAAACTTGCACAAGTGCGTAAGCATACGCATAAAGAAATTGATTGGTTTATTTCCTTACGCATGCACTTATGGCCCAATCAGATTCCTTATGCATACACGGAGAAAAATGTCCGATTAAATACAATCGGACAATCCAATTACATAATAACAAACGGATATATCCAATTAAATTGTAAATCCGTTGAAAAATGTGATCGGTTTGTCAGTCAAATCTCATCGGTAACCGCATTTTATCGGGTCCATCATTTAATCGGACCATTTAATTGGTGTATCCGATGGAAATTTTTCTCAGTGTACGTTTGTGCGCTGTGCAAGTTCGTCCGGATCGACCCTAAGAATTAGAAGAGGGCAAAACGTAAGTTAAACCGAGATTAAAGTTAACTGGCGGAAGTGGGGCCTCGCGGTCGACCGAAAAGTCGTCTCCATTTCGCGCCCCATTTTACTCCCGGGCAGCTTCATTCTCTCCCGAGTTCCGGACGCGAGGTCGATCGCGCCGATGGGTCTCTCGGTTTATCGCCGCTCGCAGGTCGCCGGTGGAAGTCACGCGGGATGAAAGTCGGATAAGACGCGCGCGCGTGCGAGCAATTTAGATGAAATCGCCGGGCTCCTTCTGGGACCCGTGGCGATCGTTAGTCACCGGAGAAAACCCTGACGGCAGCCCGTGGCTGGAGCGTACAAGTCACTGAAACGAGGCGGTGATCTACGCTCACGCGAACGCTCGTTTACTCGGCACGAGTTGCGCCGGTGCAATTTGTTTCCTGCGAGTGGAAAAAGTACCGCGTGATGGGCCACGAGAGGACGACCGACTAACTGGTAATCGCGGGAAATTCGACTTTGTTACATTTTCTCTTATCTCAATCGAATAATCGACGAAATTTCGTTAACGGCATAGGATCTACGAGAAAGAGACGGAGAGCGAGAGAATTGGCGATGCAAGGGGAAAAATCGATTTTGCATCCGACATATATGTAGAAAGTCGCTGTCCCGCGCGCGGTGCAACAGCCACAAAAATTGCTGCATTGCCGTGACCGAGATACTTATGGTTTTTAAAACGTACAAGATGGATGTGAGGCAACGCTCGACCTCACGACCGCGTGGTTACTCAAGAATCGAATTCGATACACTGGGAAAAAGTTTCGTCGGGCAAGCCCATTAAACGAGTGTTTCCGATGGTTAATTTTTCCGATGACGTTTTCCGATTAAATCATGCAGTTACCGATGAAATTTGACTGATAAACCGATCACATTTTTCATCGGACATACAATGTAATCGGATGTATCCGTTTGTTATTATGTAATTGGATTATCCGATTATATTTAATCGGAGTGTAAGTTTAGCTACACTGAGAAAAATGTCCTACTGCACTGAGAAAGATGTCCGATTAGATATAATCGGAAATTTTTCTCAGTGTACTAAACAGAATTCGGCAGGAAGGACGCCATTATTGCGCAGTGACGCTGCATGTATACAGGGTGTTATGTAATACCCGCATCAACGCTTATTGTGGGATAGAGTGGACTAGACTAAGTCGAAAAGTCCTCTATCATTTTGCAATTTTCGCAAAAGTCAGCGAGTTATTAATTATTAAAAATCGCTGTCTTAGGCCGGCCCACTGCCCAATTGAAACGTGCGGCGAGATCGATCGATCGTTACTAGGCGCGCAGAGAGTTGTAACGATCGATCGATCTCGCCGCACGTTTGAATTGGGCAGTGGGCCGGCCTAAAACAGCGATTTTTAATAATT